ACCCTGCTTGGGCAGGGGGTTGGGCTTGATGACCCACAGAGGTCCCTTCCAACCCCTGACATGCTGGGATTCTGTGATTCTGGGTAAGATGCACAGAGGAAGCCATGGGATGGTAAACACCCAGGGAGAAAGCGGAGTAGCGCTGTACAGCCAAACAGCGTTGGACGTAACATTCCTTGTCCTTGTTTTCAGCGTTAGGAAGCGACTGGTCTGTAACTCCCCTCGTGGGCAATCACAACAGCAACACTTTATTCCGAACGGGATGAATCATGCAAAGCCCACGCAGGTGCCAAGCCACGCACCCCGGCTGCGGCGATGGGGGGGCTGCCCCAGCCCAGCCCCACGCCAGCCCCCACCCCCCTGCACGCTCCTGGGGTGAACTCACACCCCTGCCACCAGGCCCACGTCTGCACCCCAGCCCTTCCCCGCTGAAGATGCTAGTTAGGGAAGAAAAAGCATAATTCCAGATTGGTTCTGTTCCATTGAGGCTGTAACACCACACTTGAGACAGCTACTTAACCCCCAAAAAAGGAAAAAATAAAAATAAAAATAAAGGAGAAGCTAACACCTGAGACAGTGTGGGAAAGAATCACGAAATGAAGCGTCCCAGGAAAAAAATGCAAACAAAGTCTTTGTCCTTTAGCAGGTTGCTACTGCTGGTTTGCAGCCAACCAAACAATCCTAGGTAATTAAAATCCAAGGAACAGACAGATTTTTTTAAAATAACAGCTTTAAAAAAAAAATCAGTAGGTTTTTTGTAGGTATCAAGAGGGGCACAGTAGGAGTAAGTGGAATGCCTACGTGTTCTCTATACAGATAACCCATCACTTCAATTAAAAAGAAGCAGCTAAGCAGTTGAATTTCGTTCATCATGATGTTTTCTTCTGTTTTTTCTTTTCATTTTCTTCCTTTTCTTTTTCAATTTCAGCAACGTACTTCTCAATTTCTTCAGGGTTTAGGATCTGGAACAGAAACACAGGTGACGCTCAGGATCCCGACACCACCGAGAGGCTTCGGCTGAAGCAGTTCTAGTTCTGACCTGAAAGCCAGTCAGCCGGTGTCTGTCCAGACACAACAGCATTCCTCGGCCCTTAATAACAAACCCCAGCATTTCCCAGCGTAGAGAGCGAGACGAGGGCTGGAAGCTAGCGCAGATCAACAACAGCGGTATCAGAGGAACCGGCCAGGAAGGGAGAAAAGCAAAACAGAGCCCTCACCTTCAGCGGCTGCTCTCGCCTCATGACCGCCAGCTCGATGTTCTTCCCACCAGACTGCACAACCTTGGCAAGAGTCAGATAGAAGGATTAGGGGCGGGGCATTAATTAATTCTAACAAACCCCTTCCAGGTCTGCTCAGAAGGAGCACAGACACGGGTGGGGCATATTTCACTTGTTAGCTCTAAGCTCTCAACTCCAGTAGCAGTGGGACTCTCAAAAATATAAAGGTCTTCATCCTGGCACCAATGCACTCTGGCTGGTAAAGAAGAGCTCACCTCCACCATCTGACTTTTGACATTTTCTGTATTTTAAACTCCAATAAAAAAGCACAAGATTCTGCACACGGTTTCGCACATCTCTGGTGCATCTGTTTGAATGCCCAGAACTGAAGCCTGTTTCCCTCCCCAGAGAGCTGCTAGTAAGTTCTTCTGCATAAGTGACAGAAACGGTCACCTGAAATCTTCTGCGCCTCGAATTTAACCCCACGCTGGCCACAGCCAGCACCTCACAGAAAGCCCTCGTGCACGTCACAGGACAGCGCCTGTCCCGGCGTGTCAGGAGTTCACCCAGACGAACAGGGAGAAGTCACGCACGGGATCCGCGGCAGACTCACCTCAAGCAGAGCCTTGATGACAAGTTTAATGGTCAGATCATCTGTTTCAATGGCTTCATCAGTGTAGTTCTTCTCCAGAAACTCGCGCACGGATTTGGCTCCTCTGCCAATGGCATTAGCCTGGAAACGTCGAGGGGAAAGACGACAGTGAATGGGAGTTCAGGAAAGGCTTCATTTACAGAATAAGCAAGAAGTATGAGCCGTGCAATTATAAAATCTGAAACCATTTTGTGACCACCACGTATTTTTCAGGAGACAGAACATGTCACCATCCAAATGTCACACAAGCAGACAGTTGTCAGGCACAGGTGTGTGTGCAAAACAGGACAAGATTTCCAAGCCAGGCTGAGCTGCAGACTGCCACTCCATCAGTTTGATCATTAAGGATTTCTGCAGCTGGGAGCCAGCACCATCTGGCCAGCGACATCTCCTTTCTACACCAGTCTCTCTTTGAGGGAGACACGAACTCACAAACATTTCATCACTTCTCCACGAGAGACAGAACCGACTCACCTTCCACGCGTGGTATGTACCAGAGGGATCAGTCTGGTACAGCCGCGGGGTTCCATCAAAGTCAAATCCCACGATAAGGGCAGAGATACCAAAAGGTCTGCGACCGTTGCTTTGGGTGTATCTCTGGTTGGAAAGAACAGACACTTACTTCAGAAGCGGCTCTAAAAACATTTTCAGCACGGAAAGCAGACGCTGTAGAAGTCAGAAAAGGCACCAGAAACATCTGTGGCGGGCTCGCTTACCCATCTGCCTGCTGAAGTGAGGGTTCTGTGTCCTACACGAGACCACAAGCAAGGCAAGTAAGAGGCGGTTACTGTCCAACTCCTGCTCCCAACGCCCACTGGAGCTGATCACAGCTCTCGGGAAGACGCTCCCTCGGCTGCTGGGTGGTGCTGAGAGGCAGAGCGCGCTGCGTCTGCAAGCCCAGGTGGAACGCTCTGCTTCAACCAGCATGCTTGGGAAGCCAAAGAACAGGATGATGACACCGGAACACAATGATTTGCACCAGTCCCATCAGAAAGCATGGCCTCGTCTGCGGTGGAAGCCGGCGTTACAGCCCTGCTGCTGGCATCGGGTGAGCGAAGCCCTCGCCACATCACACGCCAGCAGCAACCGAGGCGGCACGACACCCGCAGCGTTATCGCAGCAGCGATACTGGGCAAGATTCCTGGTGTGTAACGGTTTTAGAGAAATCATCCATGTGCCAGAATGAAAGACACAAATGTGAGGTTACTATCAAGGAGCAAAGTGAAACTTTGGGAAGCGGTATTCTGCTCTGGCAGGCCAGTGATCACTACAACAATCACACTATTCTCACCATCACTACACTGACACGTGGCTGTGCATGACTGAATTAGACTTTCTCTAATGCCCACTAGTTGCTGAAAATCATTTTAATACACTGGCAAATTAATAATTTTATCACAGAATGCAGCTGGGCATATTTTGACCCCGCAACACATTTAAAATTCATGAATATCAAATGTAAAACACTAAGTACTGCGCTGATTTGCTCCCCTCTTACCCCTCCCTGCAAGGAGGAGGGAAAACAAACAGGAGCTACGAAGATGGTTTGACAACACCACAGCACCATTGGTACGAGCATGAACTAGAGCTGTAGATCAGCAGAGCGTTCCTGACGATACCACAAGGGTAGTTACGCAGTCCTTACAAGTACTAATCGATTTCTTCGTCTTGGGAAAAACCAAACAAACAGTAACGGATCCTCCTTTTCCGTATTTCCAATAACCAGCCACACTGTGTTGTTACGCTGATTTTTACCAGCTGCGTCGAACGAGGCCAGGGCAGACACGGCACACACTCAGCCTGAAGCGCTGCTCGTCAGGACACACTTTTAAGCCTCCCCGTGTGGCCCACCATACCTGCTTCAGACTGGCAATGTAGCGCGTGATGTACTCCACGGTGACGGGATCCTCCACGGTGAGTCTGTGGCTCTGGCACTCCACACGAGCTCTGTTTATAACTATTCTGGCATCAGCCGTCAGCCCTGAAACGACAGCGTGCGCTCAGATTCCTGCTTCGCACCGTACGCACAAATAACACAACTGGTCTCGCCCCAAAAGGCTCACAAGGTCAGTGTCAACAGCAATGAAAAACAGCAAACGAGAGATCACGCTGTCTCAGGTTTGCTGAGCAAGAATAGCATTTTTAAGGCAACAGAAAGAAGCTAATGTACCAAAATAAGCAGCAGGTTTAGTTTACAGCTTTCATGTTTGTGAGTTAGATAACACAGGCAGTTCTGAACCAAGTAATCAGAATATTACTAACAGACTGACAGCACTCCGTCCAACAGCAAATTAGCACAGCAATCTCAGCTCTCACACCCACTGGTTTCACTTCTTACACAGGCCCTGTAACTATAAGCCAGCTTTATCTGCACAACCAATCCTGTCTAGTTGATGAAGCTACAGCAGCATCATGTTATTTGACAAAAATGAGTATGACCCTTTAAAAAAAAAAATCTAACAGAAACTAACTTTTTATTTTACTTCTTACGATCCCATTTTCGACTTACAGCCTTGTTTCTATTACAGAATTTTTCTTCAAGCTTGTGAACCTGCCTGCACACACCACAACCCTCAGCCAAGGGTGCACGGCAGCAGACGCAGCGGAACCTATCACTCCTGCACACTACATCTAAAACCTGTTATTTCTGCCAGTTACATCAGGTCTGCCCTTACAGCATTACTAACACTGACACAAAGATTCAAAACTACTTGCAGAGAGGAGAAACCTTCTGAAATACATTTTCTCCCCATTTGCATTGTTTTTTTCAACTTTCATGCCTCCTGTTTAAGCTCTGAACAATGGAAATTAAGGCATCTGGAACAGGAAGAATGTGGAACTGGAATATTTATGCTTCATATCCAGAGCTGTTCTTTCAGGAGAAGTCTTCTGAACTAGAACAGAGGAAATATTTCTTTGTTTTATGCAAGACCACAAAATTTAGGATTTTTGGCTTGAGGCATGCGGGAAAAGGTCCCTGTAACTGACAAATGTCTCTTACAGCTCCTGTAATATGTATTAATATTGTACATCTATACAAAATTTTAAATATTTAATTTTAAATACAAAAATTAAGTAAATAGATATAAATTTAAATAGTATATATCTGTGTGTGTGCCAGTGACACATCACCTCTCAGTCTCCATCCTCACACTGAGCCTAGAGGACCGCAGTAACTTTAACACATATTTCCTCTCATTAGATCAATTGGCTCTCTCTTTGTATTTATCCACACAGCAGGCTACTCTTCATTAAAACGAATAAGCAATCGTGGAAATACACTCCTTCCCCACAGCCCTCAGCCAGTTATGCTAAGTCTTTTGTGTTCTCAGCATCCACAAACACCCCCAAAGGAGCTCCAGTAACGGCCCAAACCCCTGAAGGGATCGTGTACCTGCAAAAGCCATGCAGACATTGTCATCGAGAGCACAGATCTTCCGTACAGTTCTTTCATCCTGAAGTTTTGCCACAGACTTCTTTTCTACACCAAGAACAACAATATCTTTCCCTCTTACTCCAACCTTCAACGCATTAAAAGAAGAAGAAAAAAGTTAATCTATGCCCCAAAATCCTAGTAGTTGCAGACTTTACTAAAATGAGTAGCAAAATACAAACACAAAACCTCCTCAATGTACACATTATTTCAACTTGCAGTCAGTATTTTATTTCTTATTGCCAGAACCAGGAGAAAGCACTGATGTAACAAAAATCGCATTAGATTTCAGGGTGCAGTTTTGTAATCAGCTTATACCAATTTAAATCCGTGTGGCTCCCAAGAGATATATTCCCACTCTCTCCCACACCAGCGTTCATGTTTCTGCAGCCACAGAGGCAGGATCAACACCAGCACAACTGGTCTACCGGTGTTGCTCCAGTCAGAAGCCAAAACACTGAAGATTAGACCAAAGAAAACCTACAAGTAGCCCGTCAGTAGCTTGCTTTCTTAATGTCCTAATTCACACTTTAAATACACCTTTCCCAACATCAGGGAGGAGGAAAAAGGTTGTGCGCTCACACTCCTTCCCACTGCTTCTCATAGGGTGATGGGAATCTTTTTTTCATACGGGGCGGCCCTGCTGTTAGTGCGTTACAGACACCTCCAAAAACATTCAACACAACCAACGACTCCACAAGAGACGAGACAGAGGGAGATTATATTGCACGTTAGCTCTGCTTTTACAGTGTTTTTCATTTCTGAAAAAAAGAAGAGCCTATTTGGCGCTAACTCTTGTTGCCTTTATTCCCATCCAAAGGCAGCAAATTTTCTTCCAGATATTCTGTGATTTGGGACTTAATTTTTTTTTTTCCCTCCCTCAAACGAAAAAAAGCCCTTCATTGAGCCAAAGCTTGGGACAAGGGGATGCCAGGAGCCGGACAGCTGCTCCTCCGCGCCTTCGCCGACACCTTTCCCAACCCACTGGCAATCCGCACTGCGCACGAGCACAAATTATCACCAGTTTTGCCCCACGCAGGACAACGAGAGAGAGGACCCCGGCTCCCCCGTGGGTGGGCACCAGCCCTTCTCCCTCTCGAGGCGGTCGTGCCCGCCCGGCCTCCCGGGGCCT